CACCATTAATGTCCGCCTCATTCTTCACCACTATATTCAACGCCACAATGGACTCAATGCCCGGACTGTCCCTCATATTAGTGGCACTCATACTAATCATACCATTTGGTGTTGTCCTGTGGATCCATGGCTGCACACAAATGCCAGATATTAGTGACAAACCCAAGAATAATCACAAGAATAATATTAATAATAATATAACCGATGATAAGAATACAGAGATGAAAGAGATTACACTTTCAGATAATGAAGATTTAAGCGATAATAAGATGTTTCAAAGTGTGTAATAATTGTGTTTAATAATTATTTAATTTTTATAACTATATTTATTTCTATTATATTACAGTATAACTGTCAATTTATATGGATATTAATGTTGTACTGTAGTTAAACATATTTAATTTTTATGCACTGGTTTACAACAAACTATACAATTTGTGATTTTTTAGTATACTTTATGAAACACAAAATTACCATAAAATTATTTCAAATAAAAAATATGTATTTAAACGATTAGTTTATTATTTATAACACAGTTTATTAGTACAACCAAGCACAATTAATGGAATTTGTATAATATGTGTTACATTTTTACATTGTAAGATTAATATAAAAATATACAAGTATAATAAGCATAAAATATTAATAAGTTTACGTAATCATTGTATTAACTTATAATATAAAGTAGTCGTATCGTAAACACTACATGATTACGGGTACGGATGGGTACGACTAAGATCTTGCGATAAGATTTTGAAATCAATTAAATAATAGCTTAATAGTTGTACAGTATATTAGAAATTGAATGGGTAACACACTTGATTAGTCAATATTTTTGTAGTTATTTTAATTAATAATAAAAATTATTTGACTCATGTCTGCAATTATGACCAGAGGTGCGGTGAATCATCCGCACAATTATCACTTATAGCACAGGTATATAAGTGGACATATATGTGCTAAATATTTGTATTTATATTCAGTGTGATCACTGATCAGTATATTGTATTTAAAAAACTTTTTTATTTATTGTGCTAATTAGTTAACTACTTAATATTAGAATTAATGTTTTAATATTTATAGTTTTCAGTTTATTTTATAATATTGTAATTAGTAATTAATAATTAGCCTAACTTGTATTAATAATTACTAATTACATTCAAAACTCATACAAAATGAATGCAAATAGTATCGTATATAAACTGAAACGAGTTATTGATTTCATAAGCTTATTAAAAGTGGAAATCTATGCGTTTATCACATTTTTTGTGATGACACTGAAAAAAGTGCCCATGGACCAATTGGTGCAGGACAAAATATGCCTGTTCAAGTACAAACTCAACTCAACCTACTGTACCGACTTGTCCACTATGGAGGACGAGGACGACTACCTCCACAAGAAGTCCGATATATTAGCCGATGGGACGACATATTTAATGTATTACACAATAATACTGACCATACCGTCGGTAATCGCCTCCCTGTTCATCGGCTCGTGGACTGACACTTACCTTAAGGTTAAGAAAATCTTATTAATCGGTGGCGCTATTGGATCCGTATTAGAGATGTTGATACTTATACTCAATGATGTTATGTATGATAGCAGTGAGTATTAAAACTATTTAATGTTTAGTATTACAATATATGGATTTTACAATAATTTATATTTTTTAACCAAATAGCCTACTATTGTGTGTTGCTATCGATAGCGCCGACACTAGTGACAGCGGGTCTGTTAGGCCAACTGTCGGCCATTTGGTCGTACGTCGCGTCCACCACTCCATCGCATATGAGGGCTATTAGGATGACAATGACCGAGATTGCTATTGGCATCGGTATGACATTTAGCTACTTGTTTTTCTACAAAATCAATTAATAGATAGCATATAACACAACATTTTATCAATAATTACTTATAGAAAATTAACCCTGACATTAAGTATAACAAAAAAGATAACTTATCAGTATAATTCTTCTTAAATCTAAATTATCTATTCAGTTATATCACATATTACATAATTAACTGAATTTTATATTAACTATAGTAATAAAATCATATATTGTATTAAATACAGGCCAACCCCTGGGGACGTACGTGGCGGGGCTTATACTAAATACGGACCCATGGATCAAAGGCAAGGGACAGTTACACAACTACTCGGCCTCATTCGCATTGGGCGGCATGTGTTTCATAGTGGCCCTCATTTTCGCCATATTTTTCATCGACGAAAAGCGCGACATAAAGGACTGGGAGAAGCGGTTCAACGCCGTGTCCGACCCCGAGAAAGACAGTATAGTATCCGTCGACGATAGGGTGCACCAGAAGCTGAAAAAGTTTGAGGATAACAAACACATACATCCCATGAAACTGTTGTTCAACACCAATAATGTCAAAGAGATGTGGAGGACGTGTAGTAAGAAACGGGATAAACGTGTGAGACGACAAATATGGCTACTGTTCCTGGCTGATGCCATCTACCTGTTGGACCACGTGGGGCCCTTCATATTCATGTACCAGTTCTCGCAAAAGGTCTATTCCTGGGACTCATCCACTTATAGCAATGGATCCACTATTGAAAAGATATCGTCAAGTGTGGCCACAATGATATTTGGAGCCATACTTCTTAAGGTAATATAAATTTGAGATATTATCAAGGTTAAATTTATATAAACTATTTTGTAGTAAAGGTATTAACTGAAAATAATTAAATTTTTGAAAATAATAAGATTTTATATCATATTATTTGTGATTATATAATACTGTATTTAATCCTTTAGCTACAACAAAATTAATACAAACTGAACTTGATAATTTTTATAGTTTGCATATCATTTAGCATTTTATATAAATTAAAAATAAAACTAAAAATAATTCTCATCAATAGGTCATAAAAGTGAATGACATGACCCTAACAATGGTAGGGTTGGGCTCAAACTTCTCGCTGAACCTA